ACCAAGGACTGCGTGTGATGGTGAAGCATGCGCAGCAACACCCAGTCCCCAACCGCGAACTCCAGAGCGCGGTGGTTGGCGTTGTAGAAGCGGCGAGCATGTTCCTGCGCCTGAAGAAGACGGGCACGTACCTCAGTCAAGAACTCATCGCGGTTGGCTAGCAGGACGTCGACTGCCTCCGTGCGTGCCTGGCCTACATAGGGTAGTAGGTCGGGCGAAGCGTGGCCGTAGACCACCTGGAACGGCGACGTCTGGAGGGTGGAGTGGTAGGCGGTGTTGTAGCAGAATTCTGCCCACGGCAACCAGTCGAGCCAGTCCCAGGGGTGATCTCTAGTCAGGCATCGCAGGTACATGGCGATCGTCTTGTTCACCACCTCGGACTGACCATCCGTTTGGGGATGGAAGGCGGTGCTCATGCAGAGTTTCACACCGGCATGGCGGAAGAGGTCCCGCTAAACGTGCCCGGTGAACACCAGGTCGCGATCACTAACAATGGACTCTGGGAATCCATGGAGGCGCACGATCTCTTGGAAGAAAGCGCGGGCGACGGACGAGGCCGTGTAGGGGTGGCCCAGAGGAATAAAATGCGCGTACTCAGAGAACCTGTCCACCACTGTGAGCAAAACACTTTTGCCGTGTACCTTGGGCAGGGCTTCGATGAAGTCAATGGAGATGTTCGCCCAGACACGCGACGGGACCGGCAGTGGCTGTAGGAGGCCGGCCGGGTGGAGGTTCTCGGTCTTGTTCCGCTGGCAGGTCGCATAGGAGCGGACAAAGTCGCTCACCACACGCCTGTCGTGCGCGATGAAGAACTCCGTGCGTAGGCGCTGGAGGGTTTTCTGAATCCCCTCGTGGACGACGGTGTGGGCGAGCTGCAGGACATTCTCGAGTATCGTGGAGTTGTCGGGGACGAACACCTGGCCATCATGGAGAAGCAGGCCGTCGCGCACAGTCCAGGCCGCGCCATGGGCACCCGCGGCGACCGCGTCCCATCGCACACGCAGTGCGGGGTCGGCCTCCAGCTCACGACGAATGTCGTCAAAGAGCCAAAAGCTGGGGACCGAGATCGCCGAGAGGGTCGCTGGTCCGGAGTTGACGAGTGGCGCTAGAACCGGTGACTCGCCATCCCGGCGGGACAGGGCGTCGGCGACGATGTTCGACTTGCCGGCATGAAACTCCACCCTAAAATCATAGCCAAAAAGCTTGCTAATCCAGTGATGTTGTGGAATGGTGGAGAGCCATTGATCCAGCATATATTTGAGTGCGTAGTGGTCGGTCCTGATGACGAAGGCGCGCCCCCAAAGGTATGGGCGCCAATGGCACACCGTTCGGACGAGGCCGATGAGCTCGCGCTCGTAGGCCACGACCTTGAGGTGTCGTGCGGCGAAAGGGCGGCTGAAGAAGGCTATCAGTGCGCCGTCTTGATGTAGGACGGCGCCAAACCCTGAACCCGATGCGTCGTAGTCCATGATGAACGACTCGGTGAAGTCCGAGAGATGTAGGACCGGCACGGCGGAGAGCGCAAGCTTGAGGGCCGTGAACACCGCTTCGGCGTCGTCCGACCACTTGAATCCTTCTTTCCTGAGGAGCTACGTCAGGGGAGCGGTAAGGATGCCATAGTCTTTGATGAAGCGCTGGTAGTATCCGGCCAAGCCGAGGAAACCGCGGAGGCCACGCGCGTTCCGCGGCTAGGGCCAGGACTGGACAGCCTCCACCTTGGAGGTGTCCATGGCAACGCCGTCCGCCGTGATGACGTGGCCTAGGTATTGGACCGACCGGGCGGTGAAGGAACACTTGGTCCGCTTGAGGTGGAGCTGGTGGCCCGGAGGACATCGAGGACGGCGCGCAGATGTTGCAGGTGCTCCATCCATGATGCACTGTAAATCAAGATGTCGTCGAAGAAGACGAGGACGCAGCGATGGAGGAACGGCTTGAGGACGAGGTTCATGAGCGCCTGGAACGTCGAAGGAGCATTGGACAAGCCGAAAGGCATGACGAGGAATTCAAAATGCCCATGGTGCGTGTGGAATGCCGTCTTGTGCACATCTTCAGCGATGACGCGGACTTGATGATAGCCCGAACAGAGGTCCAATTTGGAGAAGAATTTGGCCCCGTGCAACTCGTCTAGGAGCTCTTCAACGACGCGGATCAGAAACTTGTCCTTGACGGTCGTGGCATTGAGAGCTCTATAATCGATGCTGAAGCGCCAGGATGTGCCCTGCTTCTGGACCAGCAGCACCGGCGCTGAAAATGGGGAGGTGCTTGGCCTGATGATCCCCTGCTGGAGCATGTCTTCGCACTGCCGCTCCAGCTCATCCTTCTGGAGCTGGGGGTATCGATATGGGCGCACGGCGACTGGCTCGGTGTCGGGCTTGAGGTGGATATGGTGGTCGCAGTCCCACGCTGGGGGCATACCTGTGGGCGGTGTGAACACGTCGTCGTAGGACTCTAGGAGACGATCCAGGAGGGTTGGATCAGCACCCTTGTCGGTGTAGAGGTGGCTCGCTAGGAGGTGGTTAGGTTGCGCCTTGGGCATGGCTGGGCCACCGACGCCCGACCAGACCACGCGGCGGCCACGGAGGGTGATCGCTAGCCGAAGAGTGTCAAAGTCCCAGAGAATGGGCCCCAGGGAGCGTAGCCAGGTGATCCCAAGGACCATGTCGTAGCACTCGAGGGGGATGGAGTAGCAGTCCACCTCGAAGGACTCGTTGTCGATGCGGATGCCGACGTTGCGGGCGATGCCTTAGCACTGGACGCGGTCGCCATTCGCCACGATCACGTGGGAGCCGCCACTGTCATGGAACGGGATGGCCGCCCGCTGAGCCACCGACGTGCTGATGAAGTTATGTGTTGATCCTGAATCTAGGAGTGCGGTGAACGCGTGTGCACCGATGTGCACGCGTAGCTTCATGGTGTCGGGGACCCGGATGCCCGTGATGGCGGACAGCGAGATCATGGGGGCGTCGGGGTCGAACGTTTTCTCTGGCGGCATGTCGTCCGAGTCCTCGGTCTCCTCGACGATGTAGTCGGGCGCCTCCAAGTAGAAGAGGCGCGCGCACTTGTGGCCACGCTGGAACGGCTCGTCGCAGTTGAAGCATAAGCCGAGCTTGCGCCGCTCCGCCATCTCCTCGGGCGTCAGCTTCTTGAAGGCGCGCGCCGGGATCGTAGGCGGTGTTGATGAAGATCCTTGCCCTGTCGGCGTGGTCAGCGCGGCAGGAGCGGCCGCAGCGCGGCGCGCCGGATGTGGAGCGGCCAGGGCGGGCAATTGGGGTGCATTGCGCCGCTCGTACGCGCGCGCCAGCCACATGGCGTGCTGGAGGTCCTGAGGGTCCTGGAGTTCGACGTCCACGCGTATATACTCCGGAAGACCGCCGGTGAACAAGCGCGCCTTCTGGAGCGTGGAGAGCTCGCCGGCGTGGGCGGCGCATGCCTGGAATGCCTCCATGTACGTGTCCACCGAGGCGCCGAACGGCAGGCGCGCGAGGTCGGCGAGGTGGTTGGTGCCGAGGGCGGGGCCGAACCGCTGCTGGCATAGCCGGCGGAAATCCGGCCATGTGGGCCGCCCCATGTCCGCCTCTAGGACGATGTACCACTGCAAGGCCACACCGGTAAGATGATAAGCGGCCAGCCATACCTTGTCGACTTCCCGGGTCATCTGCCCGCGGAAGAACTACTCACACTTGTTGAGCCATCCGAGAGGATCTTCCTTGCCGTCGAAGATGTTGAAGGTGAGCTTGTGGTATTTAGGCACGGCAAAACCCTCGAACTCTGGCGGTGCGCCCCCGTTCGTCGGGCCAGAATAGGGCGCCCTTGCGTGGGGTGCGATCGTCGACATGTGCGAGGTCGGCGCGGAGTAGACCGGCATCCCGAAAGATGGGAACCCCGGAATCGGCGAGGGCGAGCGCGGGAAATTGATATGATGGATCGGCACTCCCATGGACGGCGGTGCCGCCGTCCGGGACTCCTGCGGCGCTGGGGTGGTCATCTGCAGTAACGGCGAGACAGAAGCAGACGAGTCCCCCGGCGTTAGCTCCGTGATCAGCGGCACGCCACCATAGCCAGGCAAACCGAATTGTGGAAATGGCGGGCGGCCATCAATGGCGGACAAGCGAGCGCCTTGATCAGCCAGGTGGTTGTTGATGGCGGACATCTGCAACTGCATGCTGGCGAGGATCTCCGCGATCGAGGCGAGCGTGGGTGGGCCGGAGGGTGGGGTGGTGTTGGCGAGCGCGCCGGTGATGTTCACCAGGACGCCCGTCGTCGCAACGTGGGAGGTGGTGGGTGGGATCGACGGCGCTGGGGCGTTGGTGGTGTTGGCGGTGGCGGCGTCCATGATCGGCAAGGTCTCTGATACCAAGTTGGTACGGCGTCGGTCCTTGCTTCTCAGGGCGTATGGAGGGGAATGAGGGATGCGAGGGCTCTGGGGCTTGCGTCGAGTTGGAGCCGTGACTGGCGGCTAGGGTTTATGCAGGAAGGAGAGAACGGGGGAGGCGCCAGGCGCCCAAGGGTGTCAAGAAAGACACAATCCCAGGCTAGTCCGTATTGATCTCAAAGTTTGATACTTATACATTGAGGACAACAACTTATGCTAACAAATAGGAAACTTAACAATCAGTCGACTCTTTCCTAACCAACCCAAATCTTCTATAACTCAAAAGAGACCGACCCTGGCAAGGCCAGCGTGGTGACCGCTCACTGGCTGGTTCAGCCACTTTGCCGCCTGTCCCTGCGCTCATATGTGGTGCCGACCATAACAGCAGCACTACACTAATCGTCCAAAACACTAGCAACTATGCTGACAGCACGATAGTACATAGTACAGTATAGTTCCTCTATTTCTAGCTCAAAATACATACGATCGATGTGCTAGCTGTGAAATCTTGAAAAAAAGATACTACAACACACCACAAGGTTAATTACACTGATGATGACAAGGATATAGCTAACAAAGATGATACAAAAGGTGACTGAGAACTTCTGAAGACCCTAACCTCACACTCTCACTCTTTCTGACTGTTACAATACATCAGCTTGAGGAAAAGGAGGCATGAGACCGTCACCTTCCTCCTCCGTGTTCTGCTTCTGATGAGCTGAACTATCGTGTGGAAGCATCTGATGTCGCAGGGGATCCTGAGCACGCCCTTCTGATCATGCCCAAACTCCATGGCCGCGAGCTCCAGCAGCCCGGTGAAGTAGGGGTGCTGAAGAACCTTCCTGTGCACCAGAACCCTCTTCCGCTCCTCCCCCTCGCCGACGAGCACCGGGATGTGCCCTCGCTTCACTGACGCGCAATTCCCCATCCTCCTCTGATCTGTGTTGTGTTCGATACTTGGTTTGCTAGAAATCCGGTGGTTATTCTGAGCCCTCTTGCTTATATAATGAATGAATGCTTGCTGTGATTGCTGACGACTTTCAGACGTTGTCAGCGGTATGCATTTGTTTATTCAGCCAGGGCTTATCAGCTGGTTAACAGTGTTTTTCTCTCACAACAAGCCAGCACCAGCCGAACTTATTAGCTCAGAAACCAATCAGCAAACAGGCTCATTGTCTTGCCTTTTGATTTCCTCTCGAGCAACCGGTGTCTGTTTCTTTCGTGACAGTAGAAACTCACAACGGTGTGAGCACTAACAATTACTGATGGTGCAACGGTGAAAAATAAACGCAGAATAATTACCTCCTAAAGGCATTCTGTTCTAACCTGTCACACCCATGATGGAGAGCAAGGAGTCCAATGCTTTGACTGGCAAGTGGTTCTACCAGCCATGGGACCCAGGTGGAAGATAGGACCAAGTCCATATACTACCCATCTAAAGAATAGAGAGGGGAACAGAAGATATTTTCAGAAACAGGACTGAAATCAGGAAGCCGAGCTTCCTGCTCGTTCTCGAGATCCTCTACTTGTTTCTACTCACGTCATCCGGCTTGATCTCACCGGCTGCCACGGGTTCGTGACATAACCCAAAACTACGTGTTCAGTATGTCAGGTTCTGGCCGTTCTGCATTGACATCTCAATAATTCACATTGTATTTGTCACCCATCGTCAATGCCATGATAAGAAAATTTCTTCCCGAAGCATCAAATTAATGCGGTGTTTATCATCTGAATTGAGTTTTAAGTATTCAGGTCCTGTAAGGATATCTGAATTAATTCAGTGTTTACTTTAAATTTCACTTAATAATAAGAGTTGTTTGTAGAGTGTGGAGCTGAGTATGTCAACTCTTGTACCTGTACGGATTTTCCATCTCGAGAAAAAGGTGCTGTACGGTTTTCGGAATGATTCAACTGTAACCCGCCTCCATCAAGTCAAAGGGAAATTCAGTGTAAAAAAAAGGAAAAAGAAATTCTTTCCCAAGTGTACAAATTGCTAGGATTCAAGAGTGATGTGTAATATCATACTTACTTAAGATAGAGTACCAAGCATACAATTCCTTAGACTATGTCTAACGACACCAGAATTATAAGACACATTTGACTTTTGAGTAGGGCTACAGTCAAATGGTTCAATACCCATTCGACATCACACAAAAGAGAATCATTTCTGCAAATGGGTTTCTAAGAGAGAGATGCTCATATTTAGGTTGTGTCTATCAGGCAACCTAAAATGGGTCTCCCGTATAGGTAGTCTGTTGGAGGCTGATTTCAGGTCTTTGTTACTCATTTTGGGTTTAGGTGCCCATATGGGTCTCCCGTTGGAGACAGTCTTAGTATGTGCTCCATGTCTGAAAACATTGTTCCGCTATATAGGTTTTATAGGCTAATTCAACAATGCGATCACCAATTTTGGCTAAACTAAATGGCTTTCCAGTAGACATTTAAATATATCATTTTGGGATCATCTTAATCGCCTTTCTCATGCATTAGACTCTATGATAATAATTCACAAAAACAAGTTTATTGTCTGACGAATACATTTTGAAAAGAAAAATAGAGTTAAATGCATGAGTGGCCCTTGAACTTGTCAAAGGATGTCACTTAAGTCCACGAACTTTAAAAATGCATTTCTGAGTCCCTAAACTTGTTAGGTTGTGCATCGCAGGTCCATACCAGCCATATGTGCATTACTTGCTGACATGTCACGCCAACATGGCATATATTTTTGCACTTCAAAAACAACGGTGGGCAGGTGCATGACCATTTGCTGTCGCACGGCCTTGCTGCCCCGACTAGAACTCGAAGTTGATGCAATTTTCGTCGGGTTCGACGTGGACACTGGTGGTTGCATTGTCGAAGTGCTACGCGCGGTGACGTTGAGGAAGTACATGCGTCGGGAAGTCGCAGCCGCCTATGGGCACGATGCAGTACTCCTTGATAAAACTGTAGGATCATTAGGGGTATATCTAGCAGATTGACTTCACTATTGCCAGGGTATAAACCATGGAAAAACTGAGAACATTTAGAGAGAGAGAGAAAAGGAGTAGAGAGCCATACCTTCGGGCTTGGCAGAGGAAGAAGAAATCGCCATGGCAGTGGTGACGCAGTGAGGGGCGACGGTGAAGGCAGTGGCGCTTCCCATCGTTCACAACGCTCCCTTGATCGGTTAGGGTTAGGTGGGGAGTGGCGGTTGCGGTGAACCTCGTGTCTTGAGCCCCAGCCCCCACTTCCTATTTGTAGTGCTGCGCGACGGGTGCCCACTAGCCAGGAGTACGGCTGAGCGCCCCTGATCAGGGCACGAGTTAGGGTCCGACTCGGTCATTGGACCGAGCCGGGTGGAGATCAACCTAACATTCTCCCCCTGATCTCGCCTTATGACTTAAAACTTAGTTCACTTTATCTTTCTTCCCATTCCATCATAGATTAGTGCATAGAGCATGCCTCATCATAACAGTTAGTACTGTTAGACTAACAGCTAGAATACACCTCTCTATTTTTAAAATAGATTCTCAACTAGGCCCTTAGTATCTAGAAATCATAGGCTTTCAGTAAACCCAAGTCGACTATGTGTTCTTTGAACGCACTGGGTGGTAAGCCTTTGGTAAGCGGATCCGCAAGTACTTACTCGGTACTTATAAGCTCAAATGCTTTCAAAATGATTCTGGATTTTCTTCTTTACAATATGTAACTTAATGTCAATGTGTTTGGCAGCACACTTGACTTGTTTTCATAGGAGTGATTTACTTTAAATGGTTATTGCTATTGTCTACCATTGTAAATTCTAGGTACAAATTCCCTTAACCACTTTTACCTGTCCCTTAAGCCTCATGACAAGCTATACTATGGGTATACCAAAACTGTTTATTTGGAGCTTTTCCACAATAAAAAAACTCTAACTGCGAGTGTTAGCAACTACTGTGGATTTCACTACACATCTCACCGAAGTTTAACATTTGTACCCACAACTATTTAAGAATACTTGTTCTTTCTTACTCAGCATGAGGCCTGTAATACTTTGCAAAATTGCAAGACATTCTTAACTCCATTCCAGTGATCTATATCTAGACTCGACTTCCGCCAAAACATCCCGGACACGTGAACTATGTGTGGGTAAGTTCTTACTTGTGCACTCATTAAGCTTCCAACTGCTAGAACATATGGAACCATGTTCATTTGATTGATCCCATATTGGTTTCAGAAACACTGAAAGTTCTCAAATCTATTACCCTTGACTATAGGAATAGGCGTAGATTTACTCGCATGCATACTTTATTTCTTTAGAATCTTTTCTAAGCATGCCTTTGCGATAGTCCTAATACCCCTTTTCTTCTATCTCGGTGAATTTCAATTCCTAGAACCAATGACGCTTCACCAAGATCATTCATATTGAAATTTGAGGACAAGAACTTCTTCTCCAATGGCAGATCAACATCACTACTGGTGAGTAGGAGTCATCTATACATAGGATGCGGAAAATGAATTTTTCATTCTTGAACTTTGCATAAACGCTATTGTCCTTCTCATTCTCTTTAAACCCAAACTTTCTTATTGTTTCATCAACTTCAAATACTACTGTTTATAGACTTGTTTTAACCCATAAATGAATTTCTGCAGCAGCATTCCAAACATTCTTTTCCTTCCATGACAAAGCCTTTGGGTTGTGCCATATAAACGTTTTCATACAAATCCCCGTTGAGGAATACCGTCTTTACATCCATCTGATGTAACTCTAAATCGTAATGTGCCACTAACGCCATTATGATTCTAAAAATTTTTTGCATGAGACTAGAGAAAAAACTCTCATTGTAATCTATTCCTTCTCTTTGCGTAAAGCCTTTTGCTACAAGTCGTGCTTTATATCTTTCCACATTCCCTTTGGAGTTACATTTTGTTTTGTAGACCCATTTACAACCTACTATTTTAACTCCATTGGGAATTTCTTCTAAGTCCCAAACATTATTGGTATTCATTGAATTCATTTCAGCTTTCATAGCTTCTTGCCATTTAGACCAGTGAGCACCTCTCATGGCTTCTTCAAATGAGGTGGGATCACCCTCCATTTGAAATTCTTCACTAACATATTCTCCGTAGTCATTAGGAATGACTGATTTTCTAGCTCTTTGAGACCTTCTGGTACCTCATTAGTTGGCACTTATTCCATATGGGGCTATTGTTGCTCTTCCTCATATGCGACAACGGGCTCTATAGGATCCTGAAGGACAGGTTCCTCATGTTCATTTATTGTTGCTATGGGAGAACCAACAACAGGTGTTGTCACTACAATGTCTTGCAATGTTGGTGTAGCAACAACATGTAGTGTGAAGAATGGCTTCTAAACCATCGGATGGGCACGTATGCCCGTTTCTCCTCAAGGTTAATTTCTCGTGCTACCATGCTCCCCTAACCATCTCATCCTCCAAGAACACAGCGTGTCTTGTTTCTACAAACTTCGTATATCTGTCAGAACAATAGAAGTGATAACCTTTTGACTTATTTAGTTACCCAATGAAATGACAACTGACTGTCTTGGAGTCTAGCTTTCCTATGTTTGGGTTAAAAACTTTAGCCTCAGCTAGACAACCCAACACACGTAAATATTTAAGTGAGGGTTCTTTTCCTATCCACAACTCATATGGTGTTTTGGGCACCGACTTACTTGGCACTCGATTAAGAATATGAATAGTGGCTTTTAACGCCTCCATCCATAAACATATCAGTAGGATAGAGTAACTTATCATATTTCACACCATATCCATTAAGGTACGGTTGTATCTTTCAGCTACTCCATTCGACTGAGGCTCGCCCTGTGTAGAGTACTGGGCAACTATGTCATTTTTTGTAAGAACATTGCAAAAAGTCTAGGAACTTGGACATATAGGGTATGTCGGAGTCGGCCGTAGTACTCCCTCACGGTCGAATCTTACTATC